ATAATATTCTCACTCGACCCATATAAAAAAAGTTCAAATTAATACATCTTCAATAAAAATAAGGATACAAATCAGTGTGGAAACACCAAACTTTAATTAACTTTAATTTGTCGAAACCGCTGGCGGAAGCTAGTTTATCTAATAAGAACTTGATCGACTGGCAGAATTATGGACTACTTAGGTACTATTTACTCATATATTACCTACTGACATATTAATTAATTGGAGACAGGTAGCCTGCGACCCCGGGACATCAAGGTAATGCACGTTACCTATCTATAGATGATTTTTTATTTAATCTTTATCTTTTGCTTTACCTTACCAAACGAATTTAAAACGAACAGAAAAAGACCCTCCTAGCTAAGATCGATTATCAAATTAATGGTCATGCTCATAACTGAAGAGACCTTAATTTTATTTTCGTTTCTTGCTTATTTGATATTGATGTACCTACTTATAAGTAGTAACTACCTATAGATTTCTCCCGAAATCTCAGAAACTGTAATCCGCAAAAGGCCAATGCACTCGCAACTTCTCTAGTGTTGTCCATGGGTGGAGCGGCTAGCTTACCGTCAGTTAATCCGTCTGTTTGTTGGCCGTCTTATCTTCGACTTTCAAAACCTATAATAGGTAGTGTATGAGAGTTACGTTTTGGTTCAAATAGCTGGAGTGATGCCACACTCTCACAGGAAACCGGCATCAAACAAACATTTGCGGTGGCAAAAGGACGAGGAGATCTTCCGGCGGTGGTATTCCCGAACCGATACGACCTTCAAACCTTCAAGAAACGAGCGTACTCCTTCTTAAAATGCCGGCAACGCACCTGTGACTCCTCTCGTGTTGCAGGTGTCCATGGGCGGCGCCGATCACTTACCATCAGGTGATCCGTCCGCTCGTTTGCCTCCTATTCCATAAAAAAAACCAATTAACTAAAATGTAATCTTTCCAAATAAATTCCACAAATAAATTGTGGAGATTTTCTTTACTTACTTTCGCAACCATGTAGGTAAGTGGTTAGGTATTTATTTTGGTTTGCTAAGTGCATGCATAAGTACCTACTCTTCTTAGGATTTTGGTATGTTTTAATTTGAATTGTCTGTAGGGAATTTCTGCATAAGTATACACTTGGTTCTGTTTTATTTGTGGGCTGCCTTCACTGTGGTATGGTATTGCACATAGTAGACTAGGTATTCCATTATAAGAAAGAAAGTTTCCCAAAAGCTCAGACCTAATAACGACATCTGTTAGCAGACATATTGCAACTGTAGCGCTATGTCACGTCACACGTGGTCACACGTCACATCAGCTTCCAGGAGCTGCGATAATAGAGACATTCCAACGTACTAGATGGCGTTGAGTTAAATCTCTTATAATTAAGTCTTTATGTCAAACTCGCACTGCTAGGGTTGTTGAATTTGAGAAAAAACCATATTAACTATCGATATTTCTTACTATTGTCGATGCAAATGTATTGTAAAAGGTAAATGCCACCTTATTATAAAAGGTAGGTACTTTGTAACAGTTTTGACTTAAATTATACATTTAGACCACTAGAATAATTTAATTTAGCATTGAAGTACCTAGATCTACTTTTAAAACCATGTTTTATAATATCATGGTTTGAATTCGTATTAGTTACAATATTGTATACTTATAAATAATGTCAAAATCATTTATTCCAACTAAACCATAAATAGGTACCTACTTACTTTTGAAACGTCAAAATAGGATAGTATTTAAGCTTCGGCACGAATGGGTCGGCTCGACCGAAGTGATACCACGGCCTCACAGAATAACGACGTGAAACAACCACAGCGTTGTGTTTCGCCGTGTGATTGAGATTACCGGAGGCCCTATACTTCCCCTCCCCCGATCCCTCCCAATCCCTAAATCTCCAAAACCCTAATCTCTAAAAGGTCGGCAACGCACTCGTTACTCCTCCGTTGAATTATTACATAAAAAAAGTAGTCTGCCAGTTTGTTCGTCAATGAAGCTAGGTGCTCATTCCAAATTGCAAATTCAAACGGAGAAGAACGAGCAAGAAACTCCATCGTTACTCTTTTTAACAAATAACATTTGTTTTTCAATTTCACAAATATAACATATAGTACCTATACATTATTGTACCCTTATGTGAGAACAATGCAGAGACAAGTTGTAAAAAAAGAACAAATTATGTCAAAGTCAAAGTCAAAGTCAAAATTATTTATTCCAACTAAACCATAAATAGGTACTTTTGAAACGTCAAAATAGAAAAGTAGTCTGTCAGTCTGTTCGTCAGTGAAGCTAGGTGCTCATTCCAAATTGTAGATTCGAATGGAGAAGAACGAGCAAGAAACTCCATTCGTTACTCTTTTTTTTTTATAAAATTATTTTACAATTTCAATAATATAACATTTATAGTATACATTATTGTACCCTTAGTGAGAACAATGCAGAGACAAGTTGTTAAAAAAAAAAGAACAAATGAGGGGACCTATCATAAAATTTTACTCCTTTGTCGTCTCGAACATGGCGCTCACATATGCGTACTCACAATCTTTAAGAGTGCTTCTATATAAACTTTTTGGATATATAAATTAAGGATGCATTATTTTTGAGAATTTTACCTAACTGCTGACTATATTTGAGTATTGTCCAGTGGAGCCGAATCAACATGCTGCCAGGTATTCTTATCCTCGATATAATCTGAAAGTTTGTAGTATGCCTGTCTACACAATTCACGTTTAATATAAGTTTTAAATTTTCGTTCGTTAAGATTCAATACAGTACTTGGAATTTTATTGTAACAATTTACACAGAACCCCATAAAGGATTTCTGTACCTTGGACAGACGGAATCGTGGCACAGCCAGCCTATCTTTGCCTCTTGTATTAAAATTATGTCTATCGCTTCTTTTTTCAAATAATTGCATATTTTTCCTTACATACATAATATTTTCATATATATAAACTGACAAGGCACCGTCAGGATATTTATCGTTTTAAATAGTTCTCTCAGAGATTCGCGACGGGACAAGTTATATATCGCTCGGATAGCCCGCTTTTGTAGAATAAATATTGATTCTACTTCCGCAGCTCGACCCCACAGCAAAATTCCGTATCACATAATGCTGTGAAAATAGCTAAAATAGACAAGCCTTGCTGTGTTCACGTCTGTGAGCTGTCTTATCTGTCTAACTGCAAAAACAGCAGAGCTTAGTCTCCCCGAAAGCGTCTTTATGTGGGAACCCCATTGAAGTCTATTGTCTAGTGTGATACCTAGAAACACTGTCTCGTTGACAAATTCTAACTTTTGCCCATTTAAAATTATGCTTCAATCATTACTGTGTACGTTGGGCAAGCTAAATTTAATACATTTTGTTTTTTTCTCGTTAAGTGCTAAATTATTGACTGTAAACCAATTATGAACTTGATGAATGGAGCTGTTTACTTCGTCAAAATTATTAGAACGTCGACCTATTTTAAAAATTAATGATGTATCATCAGCAAACAGCACCATACTTGGCTCGGTTTTAAATAGAAATGGCAAGTCATTAACATACACTAAAAAGAGAAACGGACCCAATATTGAACCCTGTGGAACGCCCATTCTTATCTCAGAGCCCTGTGAGTTATAACCACCTACATGAACTCTCAGCTGCCTATCCTCTAAATATGATTTTAGTAGACGGAGTGCAGTAGTCAGCCCTGAATATTAATATAAAATAAGATAAGATTGTGCTGCCCCTGAGCCTGTGTAACAACATTTGATATGAGTTTTTTTTGCCAGAATATACCTTACTACTAACATTATATATGGTGGTATGTTCTGTTGTCTTAAAATCTAGTTTAAATCTATCACTGTGTTGTTAGGTAGCCTAGACACCACAGATTCGTCCCTAAAACTAATATCTGTTATATTTTTTATAACAGAGTTAATATTGAATGCTATTAGCATAGCAAGTGTTTTTCTATATGTGTTTGAGAGGGATATGCCTCTCTCTGTCAATATAAAATCACTAATAAATTTATTAGTATCAAAAAAAATTAATTTGTCACTATGACAACATGTCAATTGGTGTAGTGTACTGTTAAGTACACCTAAATGTCTATTCTTGGAGTCTGTTAAAGTACTCGAATAGGGAAATGCACAAAGTATTATTTTTCCCAATTTTAATTTTAATAAAGTGTCCACACCGTTTACAATGTCCCTTTTTTTTACATCCAAACTGTTAACTACTAATAAAACTAATATTGATTTTTCATTATATTCAGTCTGAGTTATTTTTTCAATAATCTTATTGTAACTCAGACTATGATAACTATTGTTAATGTAATTATGGTCTAAGTGACCATATATCATGTTACCTAAACCAGATGCAAGCTGGTCCCCATATATTAATGCTTTATATTTTAAATTACCACTATTACTACTACCAACCATTCTCTGTGGGTGTGCTACTATTGAGGAGGACTCAAGAGAAGGCTCAGGAGACTGAGGTTGGTTCACACAACTGCAGACAATATTATTTGTTAACGACTCATATCTCTCAGCGTTGTATTTCACCATGTCCATCAGCTCCCCAGCCTCAAGCAGGCGTTCGCTTAATTGCTGCTGGGATTCCTCATACCTCTCGAAAATATCCCTCAACATACCCTCTTTTATTGATAAGTCACCCTGAAGGCTTCTTATATTATTATTATATATTTCCCTATTGCTATCCATTTGGGTAGTGCAAGATTGGAGATCTTTAACTAAATTAATTCTTTCTTTTCTAAGTCTTAGATTCACTTTTATTAAATTGTGTTTTTTAAATGATCTTTGTGTTTTCCTTAAAAATTTATTAATTTTTATATATTTTTTAAGTTTATTGTGAGATTGAAAGGGACATCTATGCACGGTGTCATCACCAGTCAGGTCTATTGTAATTGGCTCTGGTTCCTCACACTGTAACCTACAGCCTACCAGTTCCTCATACAATGTGTGATTGTTTTGTTCAACATAATTTGTACACATACATTTCTGCGAAGAAGAAACTAAATTATGGGCATCACACAGTTCAGACTCTAATGCAGATATTCGTTTTAGCGCAGCTTCATGTGTGTCTCTGCACTCTTGAAATGTGGAGATGGTGTACTGCATCTGGTTGTGTTGATCTAATACATCCATATACTGGATGTGCAGTTCAGCAAGCTCATTCTTGAGGGAAGTGTTTTTGTCAACTATAACTTTGACTTCAACCTCACTGTCATCCCGTTCTTGGAGCAATTGGCTGCACAGCTGTTTTGTTTTCTCCAGCTCTTTAAGCGTAGCCCGCAGTTTCTCTTCCAGGTCCTTAATGGTGGTAGCCCTCCGAGTCATCATTGGGATTATGGGATCTATCATAAAATATAAATCCTTTGTCGTCTCGAACATGGCTCTCGAACTTTAGTAACTACTGACTACATGCTCAAATTTTGAGCTTTGTCCAGTGGAGCCGAATCAACACGCTGCCATGCATTCTTATCTTCAATATAATCTGAAAGTTTGTAGTATGCCTGTCTGCACAATTCGCGTTTAATATAAGTTTTTTCGTTCCTTAACATTTAATACACTTCTTGGAATTTTATTGTAACAATTTACACAGAACCCCATAAAGGATTTCTGTACTTTGGACAGATCTTCTTGTATTAAAATTATGTCTATCGATTCTTTTTTCAAAACATTGTAAATTTTTCCTTACGTACATAATATTTGGTACATAATTTTCGGTGACAAGGAACAGTTAGGATATTTATCGTTTTAAACAGTTCTCATGTCATTAATCTACCTACTTACAATAAAATTAAAACACTGAAATTAATTATAAATTATATTTTACAAGTCCAGAATTATAATATATATATCGACACTTAATAGTCTGTAGTCACGATGAATTCCATCACTAATCAGGTTGCATGCCCACAAAGTATGAGATTTTAGAGTACTGTTAGTGTTAGTACATACTAAAAAAACAGTAATTAAGTAGTTTCCTAGGTCATACATAAATTATTTACTTAAGACTTTTCAATGGAAGGAATTATTAAAATATAACCATACTTTCATTCAATTACACGATATACTTAATTATATTTTTATAGCAGATCAGATTTTTTTAAATAAGTATACTATTTGACGTAAAATATTATGGCGTCATAATGTTGCAATTTCGAAATTCATGAAAAATTATCGTTTTTGACATTTCAATTTGACTAAAGTCAAAGTCAAAAATTATTTATTTCAATTAAAGCCTTACAGGCACTTTTGAACGTCAAACAAAATTTTAGGACTTAAAGGGTCAGTCTGTCCTTCAGTCTGCTTAGACTAAGTAGTTGGAAACTACCGGATCATAGACGTGATTTCACTGACAGCTGTCCCAGAGATCATGCTATATTTTACATATGTAGTATAGTAGGAGTGACTAATAATGACTATTAATAGTAAGTTTAATTAAGAATGCAATTAAAGTACGGATTGATATCGTATTCCAGGGTATAACATTTTGGTTTTTTTACAGTGCGGTTATTGAAACCACTACAGCTGTAGCCAGCTCCCCAGACTTGTAGAGGGACACGACTGTTGTCTGTTTTTCCCAGTTCTTTAAAAGTACATTATTGTGTCATATATTTTCTTAATGTGAAAAAGTGATTTTTGCTCTTCTTTGGAGAGCTAAGTAATTAAAGCAAGCACAGGAATCTTACACCCGGTTTCTGAAAGGCTTGTCAACGCTAAAATCAACTAATCTCCTGTTAAATCTCTTGTCAAGTCATCTGATTCGTTGTTGATAATTCAGTCAACCAATCAGATGACTTGACAAGAGATTAAATTGATTTTAACATTGATCGGCCTTTCGGAAACCGGGGGTTAGTGTGAAATGAAACAGTAGTAAATATTTTAAACCAACTTTATTTTTAGCTAAAATATAATAATTCATACATCAAAGAAGTTCCCTAATTATATAGTAATAATACCGAGATAATACAAAAAGAAAATATAAAAAAACTGTATTACAATAACATAGTAAAAAGATAAAAAGAAAGATAAGAAAGTAGCTACCTCAGGTATAGTTCGGGACACACGGCGTGTGGGGGACGCGGGGACGCGGGGAGGGGGGGATGGAATGGTTGGGGCCTGCTTTGTGCGGAGTTACGAGCTGATGCTCGGGACTTTTCAGATCTTACTAGTAGGAGTGGGGGAGGGGTACTGGACGGTTGTCAGGTGGACATCAACAAACTATACAGGGGGGCAGCGAGCAACTGTCCGGCGAAACAAATCGTTGTACGAAATAAAAATGGCACTAAAATTGTTCATCTACTAACGAAATAATTTAGAAAGTCAACAATAGCCAGCCTCGCTGGCCGCTGCCCCGGCGGGGGCCTGGGGCCGCCCGCGCTACGCGGGGAGAAGGAGCACGTGACGTCACTACACTACACCGATGATTATGTCCACAACATTGCTTACAGTCCGACTTACACACTTTATGCTAATATGGCAAACGGTCCTTGATATGCAACGTCCGAGAGAGACGGGGCGAGGCGGGCGCCGCGCGTGCGAGCAGGACAGTGGACAGAACAGATCCTACCTAAACTTAGGTCTACGCGACGTCTTCGTTTGCCATCCACCAGAGGTCGCGAGCGTCACTAACACATAGCCACTTAGTACCTAATTGTTAGTAAAAATCCCTTAACGCATTCAAAATATATATATAATTAATATAGTTCATTATATAGTAGCTGATCCTAAATCGATACCATCTGTATAATGTGTATAATATCGTACATCTATTTATTTCTCAAATAACTCTGTGCCTAATATACATTTAAGCCGATTTTGTCGAGAAGCTCGTAAAGGGTTAAGTGTTGGACATTTTTTGTCGAAAGACAAATATTTTAAAACTACACACATGGGGGCTTACGAAGCGTTTGTACCGTCAAATAAATGCGTCCTTTCCCTTGTACTGAGTAAATGCGGCGAGACGGCGGGCCACGAGGGGGCGCCACGGGGCCCGCCTGCAACTGAAACGCGTTGGACCAGTGAAGCGTTACTTATATATCCAATAATATACAATCATATTATCTGACCGCTTACATACTAATTATCCTCTTACGACCGATTCCATACGAAATTACAACGACTACGATTTAATACATACAGTTTTATTTTCCATTTGTCTTAATGTAGAAACGAATAGAAAAAGTGTAAGGGCTCTATATTTAGAACAACGACATATTTCCTTCTACGAAAGCAAGCGAGGAGTCAAATTATATTTCGTTTTACGTATAAATTTGATATGATCATTTTTTAAAGACCTTAGTAATAGACTACAAATAGAATGTATGGCGTCGCGAGCCATGTGTGGTCGAGCGTGCAGGTCTCGCGTTACACTTGTTGACGGACGATTGACGGCTGGGGGAAATCTGTAGTTGCCAAATTGAATATATTCGAGTCGTTTAGCTAGATTTCCTTATTCCAATAATCTCAATAAATGTAAAAAATAATGTGAAGCGTACAGCTGTCCGTCGCCTGGCAACAAATGTCGCGTCATGTCGCGCCGCGTCGTCCCGCGCAGAGGTCGCGGCGCCGCACGAAGTCTTGTGCCACGCGTGTGTTTGTGCCGAGAAGCTTCCATATAACTACGTAGGTACAATAACCGACTGACGCGGGTTTGAAATCAATTCCGTTTCCGAAATGTACTGAATATCTCGCTTTGTTTCGAGTTGCGATGTTTCTATACACGATAGGAAGTTACGAAGGAAATAATAGATAGATCCCACACTGGGCTATACATTAAGTACGTGCGGCGTACTTCGACTACGACTCCAGATTATATCGTAGAAGAAAGCTGCCATATTAAATCTTACTTTAGAAGTACGATGACAAAACCAACTTCATTGAAGACTCGAGTCCATTTTGTTGCACAATTAAATCATCCATCTAAATCTTTCCTCTCCGTTCTTCAGAAAAATTGATTTCGTACATCATAGAATAAACACTAGCGATAGTAAAAGTAACTTTACAATTCATTGCGCTGTATACAAGACATTGTTGTTGATATGACGGTTGGAGGAGCGCAATGGATTGCAAACGAAATAAAAAGTCATAGTACAAATACACTTCTGAACTAGAGGATTTCGTCATTTATGTACTTTATTGTAAAACCAACTCAACGTAGTTTGTGCTAGAGTTGTTTATAGTTTGAGCGGGTAGTTGAGAAGTAGATTTGTACTACTAGAGTGTCGTGTATGGAAACATGGCAGGGGGGCAGCGTGTGGGGGGAGAGGGCTGCGCGTGCGCATTACATCGTGCTGTTGTCCCACTCCAGCTGGCTGATGTTTCTGTATTTGTGCTCCTTGCCTGGCATCACTGGACACAAAGAGAGAAAATTATTAGTCATATTTCTTCAAAAACATACATACATACATAATGTAAACTTTACGGCTTTGTAATAAAGTCGAAATTGTATAATATCGTGTTGCTTACCCTCATCGTCGTCGTCTGAGGAGTCGTGGTGGTCAGAATCGGAGTCGGAGCACGATTCCCCGTCCGAGCTATCCGCACCTACGTGCGTACCGCACGACGGGACTGTCTGCTGGGGGAATAAAAACCAAGTCCAGAATTATAGAAACTACTTAAACCCGGTTTCCGAAAGGCCGATCAATGTTAAAATCAATTTAATCTCTTGTCAAGTCATCTGATTGGTTGACTGAATTATCAACAACCAATCAGAAGACTTGACAAGAGATTTAACAGGAGATTAGTTAATTTTAGCGTTGACAAGCCTTTGAGAAACCGGGTGTCAATCTATTTCAAGAAACTTGGTACTCATACGCAATATGTCAAGGTCTAAAGAGAAAATAGAGCAGTTTTAAAGACTATATATTTGTTTTGTGATTTCAGGAAGAGAATGTGTAGTGTGTACCTCTTCCATGGGGTTGACGGTGATGGTGAGCGCGGAGTCGTCCCAGGCCATCTCGGCGTCAGCGCGGGCCGCGCGCAGCGCGTGCAGCGCGGCGGGGGCGCGGGGGGCGCGGGGGGCGCGGGGGCGCGAGCGGGACGCGCGGGCGCGGGCCAGCGCCACGCCCCCCACCACCACCAGCACGCCACACGACACCACGCCTATCAGCAGCGCCACGTGGTCTGCGGATACAAAGGTAGTTTAATGGTAACTGACAATAATATTAAAATGTTAATAGTTCAAATTGAACTACGTCTGAAGATAATATGGTCGTACTGGAGGGCGCGTGTTCCCGGAGGTCGATGAGGCGCGGCGCGGGCACGTCGGCGGCGTGCGCCTCGCGCTGCGCGTGCGCAGCGTACACGCGCGGGGACAGTGCGTGGCCTCCGCGTGACCCGTGCTCCGACTGGGGACAATATGAACATATTAATTATTCCCTGCTTTCTACAAATTGATAAAAACGCAAGATATTGCTGACACATTCAATAAGACAGGAAAATTAAAAGAAAAATGTAATACGAACCTGCTTATCGCGTGCGACGGCGTCCATTTTGTCTGCCATGCCACTAGGATGCATCTCCCGCGCCAGACCAGCCTCGCTCGCGCCAGACATGTGCGGATGTACTACTGTCAGCTAAAACATAAATAAAACATAGGTAATGGGTTTTTCATCATGTTTCTCTACTGAACCCATAGAGTAGTGAATTCCTCAGCTTAATCACAATTTTCGAAATAGATTTTACGATCACATTTAGTTTATCAAAAAAAAATTAAGATGATCTAAATAATAGTATTTAGGAAGCTAAGTCTATTGGGCCTCGGAAAACATGCAAACTACTTTCTATGAGAGAATTAATCCGAAATATGAAAAAACTATCACTTAAATATCTTAGTAAGATTGTTAATATTGCAATAACATACATACAAATGCCGTTCTTATAGCTTAAATAATAAGGTTTATATTGCTACGTACCGTCTGCACGTACTCGTTGCTGGTGAACCGTCCGTTGAGCTCTGAGCACGTGAGCTTGAACACGCGGTTGAGGTAGTACGCCGGCTTCTTGTTGCTGTACACTATGTCGCGGAGTACCTGCGGAGAATGTTATTGGTTACTCACTGTAGGTATAACTAATATCTTAGGTATTAATCCTGTCCTGAGAAGGATTAACACAGTCCGGAGAAGGTTCCCGTAGGTCCTTGTCGAACAACGACGGTGGAAGGAACCAATTTTCCTCTTTACTTTTCTAAAAAATATCGAGGCCTTGCCAGCTAACAATTGCTTCTTCCCCCCTCTCAATCCCCACTCTTACATCCCCAAAAGGTCGGTAACGCACTCCTAAGTCGTCTGGTGTTACAAGTCGCAAAGGGCGGCGTAGATTGCTTACCATCAGGAAATCTATCTGCTAGTTCGTTTCTGTAACACATAAAAACAAACAAAAGACGGACACTACGGAAGTTGAAAGACCCGTAGGAGCCAGTGTCAGGTCACTGATTGAATAAAAAGGTCAGTGTTATGTACCTTCTGGTAGTTATGCACGGTGTCGGCCCCGGAGAGTATGACCCCGTCGCGGGTGACGGCGGCGCGGATGTCGTACCGCAGCGGCAGGTCGGCCGGCGCGCGCAGCGACAGCGCCTCGTGGTCCGGGTTCAGTGCCGGGTACACCGACACTACGCACGAGTCCAGCTTCTGACTCGCCTCTGTTACACGAACGATAATATATAATTAGCCTAGCAACTCTTTAAAGTTCTCTAAAGTCTAATAAAAACGACGAAAACTTTTTAAATGGTAGCTTTAGCTATGTTAGTCAATATTTCTGCTTTTGCTGAAAACCAACGCTGAGGCTTTGTCCCGTATAGGGTCTCAGCATTATGCTGAGCGGGAGCCGTTTCACGCACATATTTCCCGTTATATACTTTCTTTCCGTTTTGCATTTTTTACTGTAGATGTTTATTTTCAATTTTTACAAAAATGTTTGTTTGTCTATACGGGTGAATAAATGTATTTCCTTTCTAAATAAATAAACCAATAACATACGCACTAAGACCAAACATGTATTAATAATACCTTTAGTTCGTAAGTAAAATATAGATTACCACATACAGTCTATAAAAGACTATTTATCATAATGTATCAATGGACTATAACAAAGTGATAATGAAATACGAACCAGCCATGGGGTGTCCATTTCCACCAGCGAGTACCCTGACGGCCAGGTCGGGGAAGACAGTGAGTCCGGATCGGAAGTGTGTGTAGTCGCGGGCGAGGTCCTCGCTGCCGTTCAGCAGGATGGACGGAGTCTGCGGCGCCAGGACCATTATGTACGACTCCGCCGGACGGGCCTTTATCATGCGACCGTTGTCGCAGCTGGAAGGGTAGAAGTCATTTTGACATTAATTTATTAATTATTTGGATATCCAACAAAAAAAAAAAAACACAACACAAACATATTTATACGAACAACAGGATATAAAATATCTTATGCTTTCTTATTTATAGGAAATCACATTATTATTGAGAATAACAGAGTCGAACGCCATTTAATCAGAATTGAAATAAAGACTTAGTGTGATACATTAATAACTATTATCCGCTGATTTTTTTACTTGCAGCTAATAGCGTAGAATGACATAGAGGATAGTAGGTCGATATTATGCACTATTCTATTTTTATACTGGGACAAGCACGCGCCATATCCTCCTTAAACTACTGCTGCAACTCCTGCAAGCTAGGATCTACAGTTACAACTATGAAAACACCGAAATACTAAAGTCGAAGAAGTAAGGAGTGTCCCAGGGACCATAAATGACTGTCTTGGATCCCGCAACGAAATAAATCAGAAATCAGAGTTTATTGCAGGAGAAAGATTGACATAAGAGACTGTATAGCTGGGACAGGTCCAGTCGGAAAACACTTCGGAAAAGTTACTATTGTAATGGGACTTAAGTCTTAACTTCTTTGAGTTACTTATTTCCATTATAAGGTATGTCAAAAACGCTTAAATGCTATTCATATAACACTATTCTATTATCAAAGTGTATATAAACGTACGTGATGGTAGTAGCGACGTGTACGTTCCTCCTGCCGGGCGTGGGGAAGGCGCGGGCGTCCCCGTACGCCACGCGGCGGAGCAGTGTCTCCACGTCTGCCACGCCGTCACCCTCCACAGATACTGACTTCAGGTCTACACACATAAGAGATAGACTTAGATATAGTATGAGAATCTTCATGTACAGCATCAGAGTGTTTATTTGTGAAGCCCTTTGTTTCAATAGAAAAGAAAAGAAATGTTGAAATAGAAAAGAAAAGGGCAAGAAAAGTTTGTTTCATATTAAGAAAATGAAAAAGGTCGTGTAAACTTCTACATGACCGAATACTATATGACCTAATGCTCGACTAATTTCAAATCAGACTGAGGAGTTTGGTTTGAAAGTTATCGAGAATAAAACTGTTAGAGATGTCACGAGGCAATAAGTTAGCCAACGTATGGTAGAAACAAAAGTGTAGACGTGGAGTATGCGTGAGTAGTTACAGAGGTCGGGCGCGAGGCTGAGTCCCTCCCGGCAGTGCGCGAGACAGGCCAGCGCGCGCGCCGGCTGCAGCGCGCCGCGCGCCACGCCCAGCCCCGCCAGCCACCCGCGCAGGTGGTGCTTCATGTCGCTCTCTGTGCCTGCAGGGGGGACACTCTCATCAAACATACATATTTATTTATCTATCCTAAAACAATATTTGAACTTTCTCCTGTGTCGTGGGTGCGTATACAAATATAAAATTTTACATAATTACACCCAGACCCGGAATAACAATTTGTGGATCACACAAAGAGTTGTTCCGTGAGGGAATCGAACCCAGTTGGCCTGCCACAGCGTGAACCGTGCAGTCACGTGTTCTTATACTAATACCTTAATACATTGAATTGTTATATCGCAAAAAAACGAGCAGACGTTTTTTTTAAAAAAAACGTTGCCCCACTTTAAGATTTTCTCCTGTGTTGTGGGTGCGGTTACAAACATTCAATGTTACATACACATGACACCCAGACCCGAAACAACAATTTGTAGATCACACAAAGTGTTGTTCCGTGCGGGAATCGAACCCGCGCCACGTTGCACGGCAGCCAGTTGCCCAGCCACCGCACCAACCGTGCATTCAAATACAGTCAAGTACTTGATGGTACGCAATCAGCGCCGCCCATGGACACCAAAAAGACCAAAGGAGTTACGAGTGCGTTGCAGGCGTCTTGGGAATAAGTGATTTCGGATATTTAAGTATTGGGAAGGAATGGGTACAGGGAAAGTGATTGGCCCTTCAGGCGAAACACAACACTGAGGTTGTTTCGCGCCGATTTTCTGTGAGGCCATTGTATCGCTTCAGTCTAATCAATCCACTCGTGCCGAGGCTTGGCTCTCCCACACTTAATATTTGTGTAATATCAATCTGAATAGTTTGTGGTGCGTACCTTGCCAGCAAGCCCCGATGACGAGCGTGGTGTTGACCCCGTGCGCGGGATGCAGAGGCCAGTCGTCGATGACCTCGGGTCCCTTGGCGTCGGGCGCGCGGTACGGCTCCCCGTCCACGAACAGCTCCACGTTGGGGAAGCGCACGTTCACCGCGTAGTGATGCCACTCGTTGTCGCATACCTACAATACACAAGCATAGTGCAATCTTCTTTTGTCGATATTTATAGAAAATTCAAACAGCGCATTTTGTTTTCGTCCTTCAGTTTCCTGGGAGCCAGCATTACATCACAAAACTCTTTTTCATATCATTATTTTTCAGCCAATTCTATATATTTTTGGTAAAAAGCCAATCAGACCACTCAGGAGATCAATAACGCGTTTTACGAATCAAAAGTTGAAAAAATTGAACTACTTTAGAAGAAAAAAAACAAGAGATTTTAAAAATGAACGTAAACATTGCAATCAATATGGGACGATAAAACGATGGTAATTATTGGTTTTCTATGACGTCGATGTCCGGCACAAACTTATAAAGGTAACCAAAAAGATTAAACATGTTTATATCTCAAGTAGTGATGGCATACGTACCTCAGGCAGCTTCCACCTCCACTCTGCAGGTCGGAATATGTTGAGGTCTCCCTCGCCGAAGTCGCGGCGCAGCAGCAGGATCAGTCGGCAGTTGCGGACGAACAGGGCGTAGTGGTGCCGGTTCATTTCTACAGGAAAGGTAAGGTGGTTTAAGCAAAAAAGGATATTATATTGTATGTAGGTTTATTTTGTTAGACTACTTACTATCACTTATATACTCATTTGAAATCGTCGATATTTCAATATATTATTAAGTATGCAAAGAACTTTAATTTATTGAACTGTTATTATTATTTTAGAGTAATGTTGTGTTTTAGATTTACGTATTTTATTTAAATTGTTCAAAATTAAGTTAAAAACTGTAATGAAAAGTTTCTAAATAAATAAACAATTTATTGAAGCCAATTGGAAGCAGTTGAAAGCAGTCTTATTAAACGGCTTTTTTAAAAAATACACTTCTTTTTCAAAAGTAACATTTGCATTTGTTTTAAAAGGTCACTAACTGTGGTCATCAGCGAGACACAGGACGTGCTCCTTGCGATGCTTGTCGTTGTCTGGCGGGGGCGCGTGCCGCATCCAGGTGGAGATGCTGAAGGTGCCGAGCAAGGCGTGCGGCAGTACGGACTCCGGGACTATGGCCGCCGTCGTCTCACCGTCGAACTCGAACATCTGCTCGCCGTCACGACCTGACACATATAACAAAGATCAAACTCAAAGTCACTTATTCCAACTAATAGGTAATTATAATAGGTAATTATTAATTTAGGTAATTTTGAAACGTCAAAATAGAATAGTAGTCTATTCGTCGAGTCAGTCTGTTCCTCAGTATTTAAAAAAATAATAAGAAAATGTATTATTAATGTTTATTGTATGTATAATAGACCACTATGTATGGTTACTAGACTAGTATGATTACTTCAAAAAAATAATAATTTGAAACGTTTAATCTGATGACTCTTAAACAATTGATCCCAAATCCATGTCCTACAGTTACTACTGCAGAGTAAAAGGACCTAGGTTTGATTACAGAGTCCAAAAAAATATTTTAAGTCATTCTAAGGACTATATGCTATACATAACCAATGAAAAGAGGATGTATATCGCGTTAGTGTAAATAATATAAATGTTGAAGTTACATTTAAAAATAAGTAAGTATGTCAAAAGTTTAAAGATGTACAGGTAGGACTGTACTAACCTGAGTCTGGTTTCAGGGATTTCGCCCATTCGTTTCCTACTCCGGGGCTGGGCAGGAGGTCGATCGTTTTAGGGTCAAGTCCTGGAAATAAAAAGGTAAGTATGGATTAGTCACAATGTATAAGATATTTTATCAAAACTTTTATTTTTTCCGAAGATTTTATATATTATACAACTGACTATGCCAGTTCACTATTGGAACATAGGCCTCCGCTACATAAAAGGGGCTTGGCATCTCGTAGTATAAAAAAAAATGTCATCATTGTTGCATACCAAGACTTCAGCCTTGCAGGAAACTAAAAGAAACGATGTCTTTTTTTGTGAGGGGAAAATCATCAAATGACTTTTCTCACCCTGATTGAGGTGAGAGGGACAGAGCTACTTACCGCAGATGGTGCGCTGTGAGTGCAGCGAGTATGTGTCGCGGTCGCAGCCGCTGCCGGCGCGCGAGGCCTGCAGCGACACGGCGGCCTGGATGCGGGTCACGCCGGGGCAGCGCTCGTCCGACTGGCACGTCTCCAGCCGCGCCGCCGGGAACAGCGCTAGCGGGCCCGAGCCCGGGGCGTAGTCGACGCGCTCTGCCACACCTACAAACATTTATATGACACCAAATTAAAACAAACGCTTTAGAGTTTTTTTTTACATGGATACCACTGTTCTGGACTTTGAATTTTTGACTGCACAGATGGCGACTGTAACCGGCTGCCGCTACACATGTCCCGTTTTCGATTCCCACACGAAACCATGACTGTTGTTCTATGGCTGGATGTCATGTGAATGTGATATTGTATGTTAGTAAAGCCACAACACAGGAGATAATCCTACTGTAGGGCAACGTTTTTTTAATACAAAGTTTTCAGTTGCCATCTGAGGGGCGATTAACGTTTTAGTATTAAAACTTCGACCTTTCTGTTCTTATTCGTATCAAAATGAGGGTTTTCTGATCTCTTTCAATAAAAAAATAATAAGTCAGAAACTCTCGAAATATAATAATCAGTTTTCATCTATTTACTTCAAGTGTAGCGCTAACAAAAACCACTTTACATTCAGAGCTTGGATCACATTACCATTAGAGACCAATTCTATCACATAATAGAAGCATTGCCCTACACAGTTATTGAACCCGCAATGATCCGTAACAGACGACCGCTTAGCTACACGTAACATTGTAAACTTTGGCTGTCTGTCGCAGTAACTGTAGCCAAAATTAATTCCTTTTGTACATGTAAATATTCCAAAATATTACTTTATTAAAACTATTTAATTCAACGAATGATTGAAACTAAATTAAAATACAATTATAACATTTCTATTCAATATTAAATAAACTGTTTCTTTTATAAAACTTTCAATCAAATACACAAAAGAAAATATAAACAACTTCTAAATAATTTCTATAGGTACAGACGACGCTACATCAATGTACACACTTTATTAAACTTCGTCAACAGTCTTTAGACTTTATGACAAAAGAAATAGTGTACAGTACAGGTCTTAGTAATGAATTAATATCGCTATTTCTCGACCGTCCGTCGATTACAGTTCATTATAATAATCCCGCAATAATCCCGGGACGGGGCGGTACATCAATTATTTAACTGGGTTTACTTAATGTATAGTTTGTCGGTTTGTTGTGGTATTGAATAGAGCGGCTCGGTTCCGGGAATACTATAGCACCGTAGTACGGGGGCATTTGTTACTAGTTCGTTGTTGTCGATGTCAATAACATTTGTGGAACTAGTCTGATTGTAACTATAATGTGCATTCCATTTAGAATTCTGGTTTAGAACTAAACAATAGGGTAATTACTGTTATATTTGTAATAGACACGTTTATAATATTTACCCAATCAAGACAAAACATATTACCTTTTTTGCAAAAGTACCTACTTACGTCCTATGCTTTTATCTACGCGAGCGAAGTCACTAGTATAAGCTATGTAAATATTAAAATAACCACAAATTTCTCATAACGTTGGACCAAATTATATATCTGCATAACCCAAGGCTCGACTGGTAGAAAATGCCTAGGGAATTAAGTCAGGCTATGTACTATGTATATGTACCCATTGTGTAAGTTTGTATGTAGGTGACAATCTTTGGAACCGTTGTCGGATTGCCCAAATTCTCTCACTGATAGATATCTACAATGTTCCCGAGTGCTACAGGCTATAAAACATCACGCTACGATTAAATGGAGCTGCGGATGAAACCGCGCGAGAATAGCTAGCAAATGAATAAAATGACTCGGTTCTCATTCATGACTGAATAAGACCTTCAAAGAACACGTGGTAACTAACCTTTCCATCCAGCTCTGCAGGGTTTGTTGACCTTGATGGTGACCATCACGGGCGCTGACTGCATCATGCCGCAGTCGTACGCCACCACCGACAGGATGTGGTTGTGTGACTTCTCGTAGTCCAGGGCTTCCGTGTTGCGGATCACACCTGAAGGAGTGGAGACAATCTTGTACTAGGAGCCGTGATAATATTTAAAGTAGGTTCTTAAATGCTCACTTTCAGAAAATATGGTAAAGCTTCGTGTTTGTACGGAATAAGACCACGGCCGAGAAACAACGCTAGCATTGTGTTTCGTGTGTGAGTTTTCCAACAGCCTAATCCCCAAATCCCTAATCCTTAAATGGCCACCAACATATTTAGAATCCTCTGGCGTTGCGTACATTAGTCATTGATATTTCATGAGATAGAACGCCAAACGAGCTGAATGATTAACCTTCACAGCAATCAGTACCATGGACGCATGCAACAACGAAGGAGTTACGAGTACATTTCTGACCTTTTGAGGATTGAGATTTTGGAGATTTAAGGGTGGGGGGAGAGGAAGGATGAGGCCTCTAGTAACCTCACTCACACTGCGAAACACAACACAGTAGCTGTTTCACGCCGTTTTTCTGTGAGGTGTGATTTTTATTATCTGTGTCCCTGTTATAGATGGTAATGTGTAAGGGGGTCAGAACTCACCTTCATTGTCGATAGTGAAGGGCTGGCTGCGGTCGGTGAGGATCTCATACTTGCAGACATCCCCGTACCGCGGCGTGCAGTCACGGTCGATGGCTTCCACTCGTAGGATCTCGTCGTAGATGCGACCTTCATCCACAGACTTGACGTAGGCCGACTGACTGAACACCGGGGCGAATTCGTTCACATCCGTCACTGTTATGTGAACTGGCACCCTGTCGGGAGAAGGTATTGGAAGACGTTTTTAAAGCTATAATGATCAGCAAAAACTATTTTTTCCATCTGTCTTGAACATTGGGAAATCATAAAGTTTTAGATAGAATTGACTTTACAATTAATAAGTAAGAGTCCCGGTTTGACTTGAAACCAGTAGAGCTTTCTTTTGTCTTATTTATGACTAGGTTACGTACGTGTTTGAATAAGAGCCGTCGCATCCGACGGCCGCTATGTCAAACTTGTAGTTGCGGCGCTTCTCGCAGTTGAGCGGGTAGCGCACGCGCAGCCGGGCCTCGTTCTCATCTATCACCATTATCTAGAACAAAAAAGAAAACATTATTGATTACATTAAAATATCCCAAAGTGTGGGAGAGCCAAGCTTCGGAACCTAGGCAAGAATGGGTTGGGTCGACTGGAGTGATACCACGGCCTCACAGAAAACCGGCGTGAAACAACTACAGCATTGTTTCACAGTGTGAGTGAGGTTGCCGGTGGCACTGTTACATTTTTTTTTAAAAAAATGTTGCTCCACACTAGGATTTTCTCCTGTTTCGTGGGTGCGTTTACAAACATACAATTTCACATGCACATCACCGTAACTCCTCTATAGGTACCCCTTTCAAATCCTTAAATATCCGAAACCTTTATCCCCAAAAAGTCGACAACGCATTCGTAACTCTTTTGGTGTTGTTAACCTATAAAATATAAAACTACCAGCTTATCCCAAATGTATTGATTTCATTATTGTTAAGTTGAAACTTTGAATTCTTGTATAGGTATAGTTTGAATACCACAACCACAGGCGCACCAAAACACCCGGTGTAAAAGTATTAAGCTTGGCTTTAGGAATTCCTAATTGATTTGGACATACAATTTAAAATCCACCTATAAACTACTCGGCATAAATACAGTACGTATCTAAAAACAATGACTACTGATCTGCAGGGAGTGACTTCGACCCCTTGCTTGGATAAATTACAATTACCACCACATACCCGTCCCTGGTATTACCAATAAAAGTATAACGGTGCATGGCAATCGGGTCCACCATTACAGGAGACCGCCGTAACATAAATATGAAGAAATGTGACTATTACTATTAAGGTGCACTTCTACTATCATGGCATCAGTGAGATTAGCGTAATGTTATACTTTCTATGGCCAATACAAATATTTGGCCTTTTCTTTGTAAAATGCCGATTTTTGTAAGAAAATGTAAGTTAAATACTAAATAAATCTAAACAATGTATACCTATATATAATAATAAGGCATTAGGTGTTTTTATAATAACTATCGTGAGACATACTAAATTAACTAAAAATCGCGGGGTACTACCGCGCACGCTGCTCATGAGGAAGAACCCCTCTGTGGTTCGAAACTAGTAGAGCTTTTCTCAATATTTACACGTGAGTAACCCGCGATTATTAGTTAATAAGGCATTAGTGTCTGTAAAATTTGCACTATTTTCTTTTTAATACCTCATGTAATATGGATGCGTATATAAATATGTTTATTGAAAACGTGTAATAAAAGCGAACTTCTTAGGACTGTCGACCTGTAACACATTACATTCCGCCCCTAATCTTATTCTAAAAACTCAGCATCCTGAAGAAAAAAAAATAATAATCTCGTCCGTCCAGCTAAAATGTTCACAAACAAATCAAGCTTAACGAAATAAAACCGAACAATACAATAACAAGTTATATCAATACAACAATCTATCCAATACCGTCCCATCCGGGTACTGCCAACCTATCAACTCCACTGGACCGGGCAAAGTAGAAAACTTATCCGGCCGGACCATAATTCCCATAAAATATTTGTACCGCCTTTAATGAAAATGATTCCGGTCAGTAATGGACAATGGCATTGTTATGCGTTGCCATGGTAACGGTACGGGACAGGATCGGAGGCTTTTATAGCTCCGAGATTAATGTAGAACATAAATTATGTGTTGTTTGTGGGCTGAGGACGGTGTGAATGTGGGTCGCAGTCTCACAGGTACGTCCGGTGACATTCAGACAGATTTATACACCCCGGGTAAAAATAATCCGGAAACTGGGACTAAAGTTAAGGCAAAAAGATTTAAGATGGCATGCTTTCTTAGATTTCTTCTGCTGCATTCTTATACATGGATACCATTTTTGGAGTATAACTAGGTATTGGTGCTGATCACGAGATTTGCGGAGTCATTTTAAATATTTTGAAACTAATAATACAGATACTAGACAGAGTTTCTTGGAGCATTGTTGCTAGCCATTATCAAATGACTCATAGAGAGATCAAATGAAACACTTATTGGCAAAGTCCTGTCAAGTGCACATCACATCATCAGCCTATAAGTGCCTACTTTCAAGACCTCTTCTTACGCGGAGAAGGTTTGAGCTCTAATCACGACGCTTGCTTAACAAGGTGGATTGCCAATTGTAACTTATTTTAGCAATCACACAAGTGCATCATGTGGAATCGTCTTCCTCGAAGAGCCGATGTCTGCTTAAATAAACTAAGAAAGTATAATTCGGAAATAGTAACATTGGTTCTTGGAATCTGCATCCCCGTGCATGAGAAGCGGAGGCTGCTGCTCTGATCCCCATCTCTAGTTACATTAAATAACTAGGGTATCAAATCTCAAAGAGTATGCCAGTACAAAGCGATCCTAAGAAACTCGTTTAGTTAACAGTGGAGCGTTCCCGTAATCGAATGTATCGGTGAAGTTTCCTAGAATCAGCAAATACCGGGAATCGATAATATTTTATTGAGACCATATAATAATCCTCTCATCGCTAATTCTCAATTCTTTAACCCAAAAGCCAGGCCACATCTTTTTCCAATCTATCCTATAAGTGACATGAAATTATAAATGGTCCATATTTTTTCATGGTTTGTGTATTTATTTATAAATTTAAGATATCCTTTGTTGGAGATCTTAAATTTATAAATAAATAAACAAAAACAACAATGCGCTTATCATTTACAAAGGCAACTAGCAAAACTGTCCGTCCTGGACAGTGTCAGACTCTTACTGACTAAAAACCTCCCTGCTTCTTGTCCTGCTCTGGGCCGAGGTCGCAGTGCCTCATTGTGCTACTGCAACTGCTGCCCGCAACCCCAGCTGAACATCAGCCCTATAGGGCCCCGTCTGTGGTGGTCTATTAAGTCATACAGCTGTACGTATAATTTCTTCTCTTACGGAATCAAAGACGTTCAATTTAGAATAACGTGTGACGTCACGATTCACTGACTGACTGAGCTGCAACGTAACGACTTTTAACCTTAAACGCATTTTATTTAAATATTGTTTTATTTGCATAACTTGTTATTATCCTTGATGAACGTAAATATATCACAACTATCAACATCCTCTACGAAAAGCTGATACAATCACTCCCGTGCACATGTAACATGGCAGTGAGCTAGGTTGGATGCTGTGCAGTGCATCGATTGCCTGTCAGCCTCGTGGTTACGACTAGAGCTCTAAATCACTGAACTTACAGCTCCTAAAGTTAGCCTTCAAAATGGATTCGCTAATACATTGATTTATTACTGTTTTATCCGACACTAGCTACTCTCGCTGCTCTTCTCCATTTAATCGTAGCGTAATATTTTATGAACCTATAGCACTCAGGAACATTGTAGCTATCTATCAGTGAAAGAATTTTGGCAATCCGACCAGCGGTTCCAAAGATTACCCTCTACATACAAACTTACAAATTTTACCTCTTTATAATATTAGTATAGATTGTTGTTCAGCAGAGAATGACTAGTAACTTATCTATACAAGTATTATAAAGCTGAGGAGTGTGAGTGGCGTGAATTACAAAGCTGTGATTGTTTCACGTCGGTTTTTTGTGAGGCCGTGGTATCACTGCGGTAGAGCCTATTCATTCGTGCCGAAGTATGGTTCTCCCACACTTAAATGTTGCCAACAGGGATCTGTGGATTCAGTTCAGTGTCTGGAATTGAGCCCGATGGATAGGTATAAGCTAAGCAATATAACACAGAATAATTTTATATTTCTTGCTCATCCCTTCGAGGATTAAAAGCTATCAATAAATGTTATGTTTAGAAACAAAACATGATATAGTGCTAAACTGACCCGAAGGGTCGGAAACACAAATTAATTATCGTTTAGATAATATTGACGAAGCTCTTTAATAATTTATTGATAAACAAGCCGCTGTGGTAATTAGAATTGCGCGGAGGTATCGAGGTACATGATACTGAGTTTAATTAATGTTTCATTATGCTTTTAAGTAATTAAGTTACCTCAGTAGTTCTGTTCACCATCTTTCTTGATATCGGGACGAGGTATTTGAGTCACTAATGCGATGACGGAACTAGTGCTGGTAAATACCTAGTCATCTATTTTTTATTGTGTAGCAATTAAATGTAATAATAGTACATAGTAGGTGTTTACTTATTGTGTGTAAACAGAGTATAAAATACAAGTAGGTTGATGAATTTATTTAAGAAAAGTCGTCGAGGTAGTAGTCGAGGCCATGATGCGGAGTGAGAGGAACAGGGACGCCGTCAGCTCGCCGCCCGACAAGAACCAGGCCCGAGCGTACGGCGCGTAGCATTCCGCGCGCGCCTCAAAGAGCCAATAGACCGCCACAGACGGGGCCCTAAAGGGCTGATGTTCAGCCGGGGTTGCGGGGTAAGCGCAATGAGGCACCGCGACCTCGGCCCAATGCAGGAGAAGGAACAGGGGGGTTTTTAGTCAGTAAGAGTCTGACACTCCCTTGTACACACTCCCTTGAAGTCATTTGATGATTTTCCCCTCACAAAAAAAAAGTCTAACTAGCTGCTCTGGCCTCAATGGCTTTTCTCGGTGAGCGGCGAATCCTAAATTTTATTAAATTCCAAGCAGTAGTTTCGGGGATTGGAGCATTCAAACAAAGAATCTATTTACTCTACTATTTTATAGATGTTTGGTTTTTAGTTTCTAAGATATTATAATTTGAATGCCAATCTCTAGTTACTGTTAAAACGGTTTACATGTTAATTTTTGGACATAAAATATTTTTTTATTCAAGGTGAAAAATCTTCATACTTAATTCTTTCCAAGTGATCGCGGAGGGGACTGCCATCTGGCAAGACCGAGTCATTTATTATCCTTCACATTTTTTGGTACACAAAATCTGAGTACATTATGAAGTTTAATACATAAAACACAAAGCCTAACAGACTGCAATAAACCCACTTCCTGATCCCATCAAAGAATCCTCGAAATTGCTTAATAACAGACCTACCGTCATTTCATCTAAATCAAGAACATTACGGGCCCGAATCCTAAAACCAAACAGCGGTCGCGTGTTCAAACATGGCCGACAATAAGGTTGTATTAGGCGCGACGTTGATATATCGTGGCGTGGTCTCGTGGTGACATACATTGCTGTCTCTGTCTGTACCCTCTAGCGTTAAACTGCAACGGCACTAAACTTGGAACTAGACGTTTGCGATATTGTGTTATTGTGTTTTATGAGATATGAATAAGGGTGTGGCCGTAGGAGATTGAAATGAAGTTTGATAAAGGAATTTAAAATTAACTACTAATCAGACTTCTCACGTGATAGCTCTAAAAGTTTCAAGTCACTACGGGACTCTTATGCATGAGCAGCGTGCGCGTTGAGTTCAGTTTCTTTTATACGATCTTATTTTTACTATAACAATGTATTTTTTAATAATTTTACGATAATTACTACACAAGAATACCTATGATAAGTTATTAAAAAAAGTATATTAAGATGAATAAAAAAGCTAAATCTACACCAAGCATCAAGACCGATATATACATATCAACTGGCTGTGTAAGCATAATCCAATATAGATGGAAGTATTGTACTGAAGCTCTCGAAGCCGAAACTGTAAGGATGACACAATGTAAAGTTGCAGTTATTGGCTCTTCAAACCTTCGAGAAAGTTCGGCCGCCATATTGTGGTGCAATCCGAAGAAAGTTGCAACTTGTGCAACTGACGTCTGCGTATGTGGAAGTGGCACTTCACATCATTTTATATCATGTTACGTTTGCCAGGTTATTTTTACTGGACATCAGTTTTCTGTCTTGTCTGTGAGGTAATTGTATAGTCAGTTTTAGAGTAAAATGTTATGTTGTACTTATGGCCATTTCAACTGTAGAATTTATTGCGGACTTACTTTTGCCCGCGACTTTGTTCGCGTGTATTAGTGAGTTCCTTCAGATTTTTGATTTAAAAGCTATCCTATGTTTTCTCGAGTTCCAAACTATGTCTACACCAAATTTCACATTTATGTGTGTTAAGGCGTGAAGAAAAGACAGACAGACAGAGTTACTTTCGCATTAATAGTATTAGTTTGGATAGACACACATTGAATGGAGATCCATGCTATGGCACGAATGGTTCGGCTCGACCGGAGTGATTACCACGGCCTTACAGAAAACCGGAGTGAAACAACCATCGTTTTATTTAGCCGTGTGAGTGAGGTTACTGAAGGCCTAATTCTTCCCTTCTTTTTGGGATTACCTGGGATTGGAGAGGGATGGGGTCCCTCCCCAATCTCAAAATTTCCATAACCCGGAAGGACGTCAACTCACTCGTAAGTTCTCTGGAGTTGCGGAATGTCCATAGGTGGCGCCGATTAAACAGTGGGAAAATTACATTCAATAGGCAAAAAAACTTATAATATCTTTTTCAATTGTTTTACAGAGTCAAATTATTACTGTACAATAATGTTATACAGCAAATAAAAAATATAGAACCCCACGTAAGTTTCTTTCAAGGAAAAGCAACAAAAAATTTGATGAAACTAATTTCACAAAGATTTACGAGCGCGCACGCACGGCCTGACAACTTCCAAACTCACGAATACTACTTCCTTTATTGAGAAACATCAGGGAGGATGAGAAATGTGATTTATAAATAATAAACTCCATACGAGGTTAAATTAAGATCCGTGCTACTGAAATACTGAACAACTGTACAGGTTGTACAAAAATTGTGTATCTGTGAGTGGCATGCCTGACACCTGTCAACTCAAACACACTGAAATTAAATTTAAAATGGACTCTGTTTTTTCATGTTTCGTTCCCTGCTCCAGGGTTAATTGCAAATGTATTTTTTTAGACTTTAGCGTCACGCTTCGCGTTTTAGGCAGAGTGGCACCAAATCCTATTAGGTAAGCACGATTTTATTGATAATATTACACATTGGAATATTCGGTACGTCTAAATTACTCAGTGTTGCAACAGTTATCACAACAACAATGTAAAAAAAATGGTTGGCACTTTTATTTGCTTATTAAAAAGTCGCTTTTAAACTTCGAACAGAATCGCAAACATTCTGGACCCGCTCGACACACAATCAACAATGTTGTTTGTTTGCAACAGTTCGCCCAGCGCAGTTACCGTCGCGTCGCACCTTTAAAAAACCCGAGGCCGGCTTTTAAACAGTTTGCGATCGCGAACTACCTGCATTGATGCACTTTATTGCTTGCAATCCCAACTTTTTCCATTTCTAGTTATCGTGTGCACAATAAAACTACGGCACACCATACAGAGGACGACATTTATTACTACGGAGAGTTTATATGGCGTGGTGCGCGTTACATTGCTGCGCGGGTACGTTGCAAATGGGTCTTGTTTACGAGCTGAGCGCGCAATGTTTCCGTTGATTTAGTGTTGGGCTGTGTCGTCGCATAGTGTGGGGGGTTATCCTTCATTGGGATGCGTTAATGAGTTTACTAGTGTCGCGGTACATAGGTTAATGTGACGTGGTCGCTGTGTTACTTGCGACCTTTGACATTAGCTCGGCTACTAGGCTACTATGACAGGTGACCAGGTACAAACTAAAATTACTTCACCGTAGAATACTGTTATTGTTAGAGTACTTACTTCAAATGGGGCCTCCCCATGGTGCTTATTGTTCAGTATGAGGAAGGAGCAGAGGGGCCCTCTCGCTCGAATGGCAGGAGTCACCTCTACCAGGGTCTCGTTCTCCTTGATCAGTCCATGGTAGCCCTCCTCCGGTTCTGCCAGCTCCAAGTATGGAATGTCTGCGAATAATAAAACAAGGTTAAACAAGGAATTTCACATTAATCTTTGTAAAAGGTTTTCAAAATTATAATTTCTAAGAAACTATGACAGTTCCTTTGTTCACCGGCAGTCTATAATTCAAAGCTAGACGTGTAAAACTTTGGAACGAAAAACTAATTTCGTTACAATCAAGAAAACGTCGGCCATTAAATATTCAGTAGTAAAATTTAATAATTTGCTCGAAGGACCAGGGCCTGTGTCCGGAACAGGCCATAACCGTTAAAGAGGCTATTAGCCTCTCCGTTGGAGAGGGCTATCCGCTGATTTTAATGAAATAGCCTTCGCCTCACAATCCAATGCAGTGTAAGGGCCCATTTTGGGGACACTGAAAGCCCATTTTTGGGACGATCTTGTGTAATGCCTGCTCGCGTGGGCGGGGCCGGGCTGAATTATATTCATGACGAGACGAGTAGCGGCACGTAAGCACTTGCGTTGATATTTTATAACATTAACTGGCTCGTGTTCACAGAGCAGATTTACTAAGTAACGTGGAAACCGAGCGATAAGATAAATAGAGTGCCACATAAAACTGCGCTCGTAAAGCGTTGACCTGGACCTGAATACTGCTGCCTGACTCCATACTGGGTACCTGCGCACTGGTTTGATTCACACGATTTCACAGAGGATTTTCCAGGAATACGAATTTGATTTAGTACGAAGTGAGGCGCATCGTCACCAGACTAAGGGCGAAATAAATTGTGCCCTTAGCGTGCAGTGTGACTCACACTAGTTCAGTAAGCCGCCGATCAATCGTCACTGTTCAGTTTTCCTGTTATTCTTGTCTTGTTTGAATAATGGAATTTTCCCGATTTACGAGGTGAAGGGTTGAGCCGCAGCGGCAATTGTTTGTGCTACAGAAATGTGACTCAAATTCGGGTTCTCTGCAAATATGTGCTCGGGGAGCAAAAATGTGGGTCCAAACAGTCGTGATTTCTTTTGTGACTTTTAAAGCAGGTTTTGAGGCAGCTTTGTTTGTTTTTCAAACGGAACAAATAAACAAACAAAGCGAAGAAAGCATATCGTAAAGTTTTCAAGTTGTGTTCTCAGCAACATAAACTATAAGCTGAATTTCAGATATCGTGAGCTTACAGTCAGCTTGTCGTATCGGAAATCTTCTGGCATAAAATGTGTTTACATCAACAAAACTGAAATTTGATTCAGCCAGATATTGTGCCTGAAATCTGAACACATTCAAGTTGTGCCAAGAAGAAGTTTGACCCAGCAACAATTACAGCGGTACAATTTATTCAGAACATAAAATACTTTTACAAAGTATTCTTATTTTGTATCGAAACATTCTGATCGGACATGTTTGTGAAATACATAAAAAGTTTTGCAAAACTTGACAATAATAGCTTATTTTAGAGTTAGACATGTCATATTTTTCTTCAGGATTTCCCCAAACTTGATATTACCAGGAAATATTAACAAACACCAAACAAAAGTTATAAGTTTATCTTAGTTATTTTCTTCGCATGAGCTTCCCTGGTCCATTAACCGTCGAGTTTATTTAATAAGTATCGCGAGGTGCTAAGAATGCCTGCAATGCACCGTGCACTACTGCAGACTATAAATACTACCCTTAGCACTCTCGCTAACTTACAACTGCGCAACAAGATAGCCATTCCCATTCATTCTGGATTTTCTTTTAAATCTTGATAACCATGAACTTTTATACCATTAAACATTACAAGTGTTTCCCCACAAAACGGTTTTAAATAACTACGAGCAACAACTTGCAAAACAGCAAAGAGGAAAAGGTTAAAACAATCCTCATTCGGAATACAGAAACATTCGGAATCGACATCGGGTACTTAGCATGTAAACTGCGCACTCTTGAACACAAAAAGGGCTCAAAATTTTCTACTACATTAATTAAAAAGAGGTCATTATGCGAGACGAGAGGTAATTTTGCTGAGAAAAAAGGGTTGGTAAAATATTTTTTTTATTTTGCCTTTGAGGGTAGTCCGTCATACAGGGCGCTTTGTTTAATATTCACAGGCAGTGTCGCTGCGGTATCGCTGCGGTCTCGGACTTGGTGTGAACGCGCTCTGCCTACACCCAGCCGCTGAATTATTGCGTACAAGGTACAGTTTTGTTTAGACTTACTGACGTCACATTATCAATGTACGGACTTACTTTGAAATTTAGCTTTTAGTTTTCTTCTACTATGTCCAAATAGATATTACAATATATTATTAAAAATGTGAATAGGTAAATAAATGTTCACTTTTTACAAAAATACTCACGCCCACAAACTTATATCTCTCACAACTAAATGGAAACAATCCTTCCGAATAAATACTGAATAAAACATTCAACATTATGTATCGGTTTGTTGGTTCCGGATGAGAAAAACATAAATACAGCCAATACGGACAACAACAAACGCAATGGAATGTCTATAATAGCAATATCCAATAGTTATAACCACACGTTCTATTTGTCACATAGGTACATAAAGTCAGTGGAAATACAGCTCACAATAGGAATTGTCGTAAAAAGAAATGGTACATGTAGTTTTCGCGTCAAATGGACTCGCTAAATACCGGACTGACATACATTTACGGTGGCAGTCGGCGCGTGGCAACGAGCTGCCTTTGTAGCGATGACGTGTAGCGTCAGCAGCGTGGCGGCGAGAGCAAAAAGTTTAGATTTGTTGGTCCCACGCTGGGCGCCAATAACAGGCACTGCGGGTATTGCGAAATGTTTACACTTTCTGCATTCGAGTTGGCGTTGTTTTAAACAATTTATGTTAAATTGCTTTTTGTCGATTGATTGCATGTCGTTTTATAATACCTACGTTTATTTGAAAGCTTTAAAATAATGATGTAATACTGTCTGTATGTGTGTAAATGTTTTGTCTCCACAATAAGCACATTATTACGAGGTTGTTGGTACAATTTAAACCGCATTCGATATCCATCCGTCAGTCAAGACTTACCACTAAATGGAATCGCTAAACAGGCAGTGTGTGAGTGCAGTAATTTACGCACACAAACAAAGCGTGTAAACACATATGTAGTTCTTAACAAGGAAGCTACAGCACTGAATCGGTGTAAACCATGACAGTGAACCAACATACATACATTTATTATGGATTATAAAACACGTGTATCACGTACAGTGTTCCAATATCATAAAACATTTCTTTACTTAAGCCCTGGGAGGGTTCCACAATAAACACAGAACGTCGGAGTAATATCCTGAGTCGTACACACACAATTTCCAAAGTAAATACATAAAAATATTGAAAAGAAATCCAAATCACACGAACAATTTATCACAAACGTTGACTTCCAACAACATTGAACAGAGTAAGCCGATCATTTATTTCAATTACTCATTCACGTGAAGGCAGTATGAAAAACCCTTTCTGGCTTACCCTACACGATCGGAAACCCTCAACCATTAATCTTAGCGCCATGTGTCAGTCAGAGAGCGCACATAATGTGACAATTACGGCGTCTGGATTTGAATAACAACCTTGAAGAGCCTCGCAAGCCCTCTCCCACACAACTCCAGGATCGGACTGATTCGGGACAATCCTCCGAGAATTGGTCATAAATGCTGATACGCCGCAAAGGACGATAAAATCGGCGCTAAATTATTTAAAAGGCTGAAAAGTGGGTAGTATGCTGCTCGTATGGGTGCTAAGCGGTTTTGTCGGTTTAGACATTTGCGGCGAACTGGTGAGATTTTATTGTTATGTGCGGCTATTAAGGTTTATAGACTTTAAACTCAGATACCGCGAAAGAAGAAGGGTCTTTTCTGGCTTTTTATAATGTTTTGTTGATAAACATCTTAAAACAGAAGAAAATCATCAATTTGTGTCTCAAAGATAACTCCATAATAAGATAAGTCAAATACGGCAATCCGTAAGGTACAATGGGTTTACGACGCTATCCAATCCTTAGTGCAGGCTGTGCCGAAGTTACTTACAAAAGTTACTTATTTTATGGTGTCACGATATGGCTGGACTCATCAGTTTCACTTAGTTCGTCGAAACAGAGACCCTAAAGTTGTGAGCGGTGGGACTTAGGGGATTATTAACTATGATCCCTACTGGTGGAGCAATTGATGTCCTTTGTTGGATGACACTTTCAGGAAAAATTAGAATTTATATTTCATGAGGGGAAACTTCAGGGGACAAGTGGGTCGCTATGTCGTATCTTATTTGACTTTCGTCCTTAAACATTGTGGTTATGTTAACAGAAGGACATATGATGTGTAATGAGCTTGTATGAACCATTATAGTTCCCACAGTGACAAAAGAGACACGTACTCGTAAGCATTGCATATTACAAATTTATTCAAAAACTGAAATTATACGTAGTTACCACATATGATTTGAATTTTTTGAATCTTACAATGTTGTGAGAAACAACGGCAGTGAAGCTAAAAGACATAAATTTCGCACCATATCTACTACAAGAAGCAACAAAATTCCACAAACACGAATTGTTTGGTTAGAGCAAAAACTTTCGCACGTAAAGTCACTCCCAAACGCTGTTACAGTTTAAATCAAAATCCTACAACTTCTACTCTACGCCCGTAATGGTCGTGACATACATTATGCATGGGTGTAAGCAGTCTGTTCTTCGCTTTATAGCATGTAGTATCGATTCCAATCCTGAAGCGAACACCACGAGACTTAAAAGGTTCAAAGAGTCCTCGTGAGACATCCAACTGTCTCTTTCTTACATCTAAATTTCGAGACGAGTGACAAAGATAAGAATGAGGTAAAAGGGCCGTGTTATGGTTTCATGGAAACGGTGGTAACGTCGAAATTACCGTGTAGCAGGACTGTCACTGGCAGCTTCAAGTAGTGTGCGACGTCACTTTGAAGTCCATCCTGCGAGCACTCCGAGAGCTACTTAAGAAACGTTCAGCGAGCACTGAGAGCTGAACGTCTCCATTCTCTTTGATGGAGGTTTTTAGAAAATAGATTTACTCTTCA